GGAGCGCAGGTAGCGCAGGGCGGGGCTTTAGGGGTGGTTTCCAGTGTGAGTCCTTCCGGGGATAAACGGGGGAGTGATTTATGCGGGCTACGTCATCCTAGAGCCGCTTCGACTACGAGAAGTTGTGCTGGTCTTCCCGCTGGCTGTGGTGGCGCACACCGGTAGGATTTGCTGAAGGAGGCAGAGGCAGGAGGATCTGGAGTTTGAGGTCAGCTTGGGCTGCACGTTTTGGTCCCACTTTGGGAGTTTTCCCCCACCAACGCACGCTTGCCCTCCAATAACGCGTTTCTTTTGGCTTTCCTCTCATTCTTCTTGTCTCGGTGTTTGGCTCTGTTTTTCACACCCAACTCAACAAAAACGTTCTTCAAGCCCTGGACACCGGAACTTGTCCAATACATGGAAGTCAGTTTTGGCAGTGCCCCCTGAGCTCTTCATTCAAAAAGGCTGTCTTCATTGAAAGTTTCAAGAGCCGCAAGGACTCTTAACTTCTGAGCCATTTCTCCAGGCCCAGCTTTCTCCTTTCTAGAGACAGATAAATGCCTTCTATTTCAAAGTCTCCTTTCTCTCTTGCCACAAGCTCCCTGACAAAGGAAACCAACAATCTCAACTGTCTCATAATGGATGAGGCTCTGCTGGCCTGCAGCAACCTGCTTCAACCGGGGTGTCACCTGTGAAACAACAAACTTGCAAGAAATAGCCAACTCAGACTGAACTTGGCAGACCAGTTGATTACCACTTCAGTGACTGTGGTCAGTTTAGAACCTTGCACATCCAGAGCCTATTGACACTTTACCACAGGCCTTTTTTTAGTCCCTAAATCATCACTTCTTGCCCACATTTGATTCTGATTTCACATTTGTGACTAACCAAAAAAAAAAAAAAACCTTTAGGAATATATTAATTTAACAAAGCTCCAGCTCCCAAAAAACAAAAGGCTGCTTAACACCATCAGGATAGCACCTGAGGTCTCCAGCTGAGATTCCTCTTTTTGCTGTATCTGCCTCCGCAATGTTTCCACTAATGTGTTTGAAAAGCGTCTTGCTTTAGGACTTTTCTTTGTTCTGTTACTATCAAAACTTCATGAAACTGCCTCCACACTAACACATGGAATCTGGGGTGACATGGATTGGCATTCTGGGGCCATGGTCACTCATATTTAGCTCCAGAATAAATGATCTTTCATCCCCTTTGAGATAAGACTTGTCCTTTGACATGAACAGAAGTGTAGGAGGAAGGTTAGGGAATAGGGCTGTAGGGGTTGGGGAGCCCTAGAACCCTCAGGGAATTGCTATTTCTGAAAGGAACTTTCACTCAAATAGTGCAGAATTGGGGCTGGAGAGAATGCTTAGTGATTAGGAGCACTGACCGCTCTCACAGAGGAGCTGGCTTCATCTCCCAGCGCCCCAAAGTGGTTCCAGGGGATCTGACGACCTCTTCTGGACTCCATGGGCATTGTACGCGGGAGTGCGCGCACACACACACACACACACACACACACACACACTCGGGGTCAGAACACTCATATAAAATAAAAATGAATTTTTAAAAAAGGGCTGCAGAATTCTTAATAAATCACGAGACACAACTATATTTTGCATGCATTAAATAATGACCAAACATCTTTCCTGCTTTCAAAATGTAACCAAAACAAAAAATAGTAACTACAATAGAGTTATAAACAGAAGAGGGACATGGGAGACTGGGTAAGAATCCTATAATCTATGTTAGTAATATGTTCAGGGTCGAAAAGGAAGAGACCAGTAACCACTCCAATTACAGTGTCTACACAAGGCAAACCTTTAGTCCTGATCAGAAGGGTGCACTACTCACAACAGAGAGAGAGAAGCAAGCACATGGACTAGGGTATGTGACAACTTTCCATCCTAACTCCTAATTCTATAGTACTGAGTCTTTTCCCCATTGTCTGGGGTCCAACTGCACAGTCTTTCCCGGTTGTCTAAGAATTCGCACTAAGGAAGAAAGGGGAAGGGTGGGGGGTGACGGACTCTGCCTTCTTTCATAACCAAGAGTTTTATAGGGTGGGTGTTAGGGATGATCAGAAGACTGGAATCCCTCGTGTTAAATCAAGAGGTTTTGTAGGGCGGGGAGGCGGGTGATTAGAACATTCGAATTCCTTGTCATTTGTTTTACAGTGATTGAAAGAAAAGACTAATATTAGATGTTTCCTACATCTGGGGTTGGAGCCATGTAGTTCAGCAGTCAAGGGCGCTGGCTGCTCCTGCAGAGGACCCAGGTTCGTTCCCAGCACGCACCAGCTGTGTCCTCTTCCGTATTGTGCTGGACAGCTTCAGTGTCAACTTGACACACCTGGGTTGAGGGAGCCTCAACTGGGGAATGGCCTTCACTGGGCTGGCCTGTGGCCATGTCCACGGGGTATCTTCTTGATTAATCGTTGAGTGATGTGGGAGGGCCGAGCCCAGTGTGGGTGGTGCCATCCCTTGGCAGGTGGGCCCATGTTGCATAAGAAAGCAACCTGAGCAGGGGCCAGGGGAGCAAGCCACGAAGCAGAGTTCCTTCACGGAGCTGCGCTCCAGCTCCTGCCTCCCGGTTCGTGTCCTGAGTTCCTCCTTTGGGCTCCCTGATGAACTGTGACTTGAGAGATGTAAGAGAAATAAACCCTCTCGTCCCCAAGTTGGTAGTGGTCAGAGTGTTTAGTCACAGCAATGAAGAAACGAACTAGGCCAGACATCAAGGTCTCTGCCTGCCTTAGGCCAAAGCCTCAGGTAATCACACTCTCGGAGGCCTGTGTCAGCATCCCAAGGCTAGTGGACCATCCACACCCCACACTCCACACCCCACTTCTGCCGGGTCAGACTCCCAAGTTAGGCCCCCTTGTCAGTGCCTGGAGACCAATCTGGTGCTCTCCATAGAGCCAGGTGACAACTGCCACATGTGCACTTGAAACTTTCCCAGTTGGAGTCCTTGAACACGGTGAATGAGCACGAGGAAGGCCAGCCGAGGGGCACCAGTGTGCGTGCGTGCGGCAGTGATGTGTGTGAGGTCGGGAGGTGGGCAGGGCAAAGGACGAGCAGAGCGGAGGCAGGAGAGGCGTGCAGGGGGCTGTGTGGGAGAGACTGCGTGAGCTGAGAGCGGGAGCTGGGCCAGGCCTGGGAGGCCGGAGTCCTGAGAGCTGAACCGCGGGCGTTTGTTTGTGTGGGCGTCCGGCAGGGGGCGCCTGGCGCCCTGTCTGGAAAGTAGTGGGTGAAGGGCGGGCCTGCGACTGGGGCCAGGGTTGCCTGGTGCGGGGAACTGGGCGGTTGGGAGTAGGCCGGGTGGACGCGTTCGAAGACCCAGGTGGAGTGCATGTGTTTTGACAGAGACCGGCGGAGTTTGTGGAGCCTAGGAGGCGCGTTTGCGGTCTCCAGGCGGCCGGGACTCCTGACTTAGGAAGCTTTTGGCGCAGCTTGCATCATCGGGCGGCAGTGTCATCTCATCTAAGGCTCTAGTGAGGCTCGCTGCGCCGGTAGTGGTGGCGCATAACGGTAGGATATGCTGAAGAGGCAGAGGCAGGTGGATCTGGAGTGCGAGGCCAGCTTGGGCTACACATTTTTTCCCCCCAAACAGAAATCAAGATAGCCTCCCAATTCTTTTAGGTCCCTCTCCCCTCGGGGTTTTCCCGCTTTTAGCACGCCCAGCTCACCCAAACACTTCTTAAAGAACTTCAAGGGAACGTCAACTTCACCAACAGATGCCAGGTTTTGCAATGCTCCAACACTTCTTCATTTCAAGAACTGCTGTCTTCCTTTTACATTTAGGGACATGGAACTCATAAGCCCACCCTGGTCAACTTGGCTCTCTTGGACAATTAACTGCAGTTTAGTTAATTACAGTTATCTTTAGCTTGAAACCAAACAGCTATTCCCACTGATCATGTTGTGTGTTGGTCTCACACAGTGCCAAAAAAAAAAAAAAAAAATCCCCTCTTCTGTGTCTGCCCTGCGCCATCCTTGTCCTGTTTGGTCCTTGCTGATGTTCTTCTCCTCCACTTTATGTCTGGGAGCATTGCAGGGTTCTCAGGAAAATTCCAGGAAATAGACATATCCCCTAGATCCTGCCCGACATCCTACACTTGCTTCATGGATTTTGCCTCTTGCCCTTGTCTATTCGCTTCCAACAAAGACCTGGTTTCATCCTTATTGTATTCGGTTTGTGTCCTCTTCTTCCTCGCTCTGGTACTCTCTGTCTCGTCTATTCCACCAGCTTCCTTTCACACTCAGATTTTCCTTTTTTTTTTTCTCCTCTTTTTCTGTTTCTGCTTTTGTTTTTGTTGTTATTTTTCTGGAGCCCCAAACTAGCCTGGAACTGGCTATGTAGACCACACTGGCCTGGTCTCACAGAGATCTGGGTGCTCTGCCTCCACAGGGCTGGGATTAAAGGCGTGTGCCACTACGCCTGGCTGAGGTCCTGGTTTTTCTTGTTGTTGTTGTTGTTGTTTGTTGTTGTTCTTGTTGTTGTTTTGTTTTTTAATACTTTTTATTCCTTGAAGGTTTCATATATTTAGACAATGAATATTTATCTTATCCATCCAGCATGATCGCTCTCTCTCCACCTCCTCCTAGTGCCCTTCATCTTCTCAACTCATCAACATGGAGCGGGGCTTCTCCCTCACTCCGTAGCTGCTGAAAAAGTTTGTTTGATAGGTGAAGAGTGGAGATAGAAAAGGGGGAAAAAAAGAAAAGAGAAAGGAGTGAGTGAGGTCCACAGTTTTTAATGCAGAGGACACAATTTCAATGCCCTTGTTGTTCTTCTTCATTTTTCCATAATTAGCGCAAAGGAAAAAAGCCAAAGGATTTTCTGGCGAGGGTTCAGTCTCCTAACCAAATCCACATCCCTAGTCTCTGTAAATTTTTTTGATTTTTTGAATTTTATGTCTATGAGTTATGATTCCTGCATGTTTGTAAGTGCACCTGTGTTGTGCAAGGCTGGAGGAGGGCAGAAGAGAGATCCCTTGGAAGTGCAGCTACCGACAGTTGTTACCTTCCTTGTGGAAATGCTTCAGGAACTTGCGTGTCATCCTTGCCCAGGGATCATGCTAATATCCGGATCGTTCCAATTTTAGTATCTCTGCTGCCGAAGCGAGCACCCTCTATTTCTTTAAGTTCAGGTGGAACTATAGACTACAATTTCCAGCTTTGCGAATCGTTCCCTGGTATGCACACTACACAGCTGTTGCTATTGGAGTTTGCAGCTACTCTGGAAGATAAAGAGTGTGTTATCTAACAGCTTAACATAATTTACAGAGTGCAAATTGTCAGAAACTTAGGAAAAGAACTAATGGTCTAAGTGCAAAAACAAACAAACAAACAAAAAAAATCTTTTGCCTTGTGCTCTTCTAATTCACTATTCACTTGTCTTTCCCCAGAAGTATTTCATTAACACATACCAAAATGGCATCATTGAAGTAAAACCACATATCAAAACTTCTGCGCTCCCCACCTACAGAGACACCATGTCACATATGAACATGCAGGAGGTTCAGCTGGTGTGTGGTTCCCTGGTGCCGATAAGCCCTTTCAGTTGGAATGAAATTTCATTAAACACATATCATTTTCTTCCTCCTTCAGGTCAGACTAGCAAGCTCTACCTTTAACATGCCTTCCGCACAACTCATCTTCAGGATCAGAAGAAGAATGTTGGATTCAGGAGGAAGTGTGAAAGTTTCAACCTCTGGAGAGGAGTTTGCTTTTTCTTTTCTTTTCTTTTCTTTTCTCTTCTCTTCTTCTTCTTTTTTTTTTTTTTTTTTTGACAAGAATGGGGGCGGGGGAAAGAAAGAAAGAGGACTAGAGGGAGGAAGAAAAGGAGACCCACCACCGAGTATAAGAAGGACGAAAGCAGGTTTTTATGGGAAGTGAATAGACAGACACACAGAGGAAAAACCCATGAAGCATGTGTAAGATGCCAGTCAGAGGATCTACGGGAAATGTCTGTTTCCTGGAGATTTTCTGTGAGCCCTGCTGTGCTCCAAAACATGCAATGGATGCAAAGAACAGCGACGAGGACAAGCACCGCCACGGGACAAGGATGGGTCAGAGCAGACCCAGAAGTGGGGCTCTGTGTCAGTGTGATCACTGAGCATGGCTCTTGGTTTAAGCTGAATTAGTAAATTCAATTACTTACTTGAAATGAATTCAATCCTCAAAGGCAACCAAGTTGATCAGGGTGGGGTTAAGAGTTACATGTCCTTAAATTTAAAGAGAAGACAGTCTTTCTATGAAGATCGCGGCGAGAATTGCCGAATATGACACGGGCATTGGGCAAGTTGACGTGTCCAGTCCTTATAGAGCTGATTTGATGAGTTGGGC